CGTATATTTGGATCACTGTAATGTTGAAAGGCTTTCCTTGCACTCGAATTGAGATCATTCTGTCATTTTTTGGGTTGTATCCAAGCACCGCTTTAGCGAATTTCTTATTAATTATGAAGGCTACTCCATTTCTTCGATGTTCCTCTTGGCCGCAGTAGTAGATCTGGTGGTCATCTGATGTGAAGTGGCCCATTCCAGTCCACTTCAGTTCGCTGACCCCCAGAATGTCTATCTTTAGTCTTGACATCTCGCCAATAACAACATCCAATTTGCCCTGGCTCATAGATCTCATGGTGTGTTGATCTTTAGAGCATCGGATTCGTCGTTCACCTCCAGTACCGTCGGCCGCTAGCCTTCCTTTCGGCTTTGAGCTAGCTGCGTCATCACATCTGGGGCTAGTTGAACTTATCCTCTGCTCCTCCCCAGTAGCATTTTGGCCATCTTCCGACCTGGGAGTCCCATCTTCCAATGGCATACCGACATATCCCTGGTTGTACTGGTCCATTTAGTTTTCTTGGCAAGGATACTGGAGTGGTTTGCCATTGCCTTCCCCAGGGATCACGCTTGGTCTGACCTCTCTGCCACAACCGTCCCGTCTTGGGTGTCCCTTCACGGTTTCGCTCATGACATCATTGAGGTGCTCAAGCTCCAGCGCCCCGACAAGGCGGTGATCCTTTGCTGTTATGAATTACAATTCATAACAGTAGCAAAATTACAGCTATGAAGTCACAACAAAAATAATGTTATGGTTGGGAGTCACCACAGGGTCTCGGCATTCGGAAGGTTGAGAATCACTGTTCTAGTTTCTCCTGAGTGACTCACTGGACTTATCTTCCTATAAGTCAGTGGTTCCCAACATTGGGCCTCCAGGTGTTTTGGACTTCAGCTCTCACAGATTCTAACAGCTAGTAAGCTGGTTGGGATTTCTGGGAGTTGAAGTCCAAAACATCTGGAGACCCAAAGGTTGGGAACCACTGTTATAAGTGAAATATATATGGAGATTACTAATGAGGTCCTGAACCACACCAGTTGTTGTGACTGACAGCAACTCTGAAAGACCTCAGTCAAAAAGGCTTGATGAGAATCCTGCACAGGAAAAGCAGGAACATTTTACAACATTGGATTGAAAGAAATCTGGGATAAAGCAATGGGATTAAGCTGTCAGGCAGCTCTCCCTGCAAACTGTGGTCCTTCACGCTTTAAGAACAAAATTATTACATACTCACTATATTCCCTTGAATCTCTTAGCTTAAAACTAAGCTCAACAACGTTCCATGTCTCTCTGCTTCTAGACCTGGCTCTTCTTTTTCAAATACCAAGTGATAATAGATATTAGAAGCCATTCCTGGCAAAAGTCTTCTGTACGCAAAGCATCAAGGACCTTTTAGGTGGTCCAGATCTGACCAGGGACTGTCCAATCTCAGGGCATTTTTATGGGCATCTCCATGGGAGGACACAAAAATAGTCAATTTGCTGGGCTCAACTCTGAGCAAAAGACAAAGGACTATATGCAAATCTCAAAATCAGCTCCAGGAGCAACAGCCTGATATAGATTGCAAGGGTTAAATAATGTGATTCTATAATTTACCAAGACTTGGGGGGAGAGAGCCATATACAGCACACCCATTTTTAACACAAGCCTATGGGATGTGGCTTCATTTACACCAGTGTTTCCCAACCTTCCTAATGATGTGACCCCTTAATACAGTTCCTCACATTGTGTTGATTCCCAACCATAACACTACTCCTTGTTGCTACTTCATAACTGGAATTTTGCTACTGTTTTGAATTGTAATGTAAATATCTGATATGAAGGATGCATTTTTATTCACTGGACCAAACCTGGCACAAAGACTCAATATACCCAAATGTGAACACTGGTAGAGTTAGGGGGATATAGACCTTGGAATTTGGGAGTTGTAGTTGCTAGGATTTATAGTTCACCTACAATCAAAGAGCATTCTGAACTCCGCCAACGATGGATTTGAACCAAACTTGGCACACAGAACTCCCATGACAAACAGAAAATACTGGAAGGGTTTGGTGGGCACTGACCTTAAGTTTTGGAGTTGTAGTTCACCTACATCCAGAGAACACTGTGGACTCAAACAATGATGGATCTAGACCAAACTTGGCACGGATCCTCAATATGCCCTAATGTGAACACAGGTGGAGTTTGGGGAAAATAGACATTGATATTTGAGTTGTAGTTGCTGGGATTTATAGTTCACTTACAATCAAAGAGCATTCTGAACTCTACCAACAAAAGAATTGGGTCAAACTTCCCACATATAACCCCAGGACTAATAGAAAATACTGTGTTCTCTGATAGTCTTTAGTGACCCCTCTGGCACCCCCTTATGACCCCCTCCCCCCAAAGTTCCAACCCCCAGGTTGAGAAACTCTGATTTACACACTAAGAGCTCTGAATACCACAGACCCAGAATGGATCCCTTATGGAGTCCTACTAAGTTAGTTTCTTCCTTTCCTCTCGGTCATTCGGGTGCCAGAAATAGTACCCTTCTCCTTGTCTTTCCTTCTTTTTCCTAGATATAAACTTCAACATTTTACACCTAATTTGCTTCTTTCTGCATTTCCTAGCACCTGGGAGAGAGAACAAGAGAGTGAGAGAGCAGGTGCTCTATGGAAGGAGAGCAAAAAGAGGAGCATGTAAATGAACTCATTAGCCATTCAAAAAAGAAGCCAGCCAGCAATTCTGACTTGCCCTGAACAGGCCTGACCTCCCACCTAGCATACATTTGCATCTCATAAAATTAATTATGCTGCAGCAATGCTAGCTGGCGTTTCCCTGGGAAAACCCCATTAAATTCATAACGCCTCAAACTTGTTGAACTTGAGCCGGGTTCTCAAATTGCTCTTGTCCAATCACTCTTCTCTAGACACTGATACCGTAATAATGGGATCTGCAAGAGAACAGGCATTCTCACATGCAGCCAGGGAAGGAGCAGTGCTCTGCAAGAGAGCGCATACATGCCTGCAGCACTCCAAGGTTCAATCCAAGGTATCTCGAAGTACAAAAGGGCATAACAATGGCAACAGAATATGAAAACCACTGCTATTGAGTTCGAGTCCAGCACCTAATCTGCTACATCATGACCTACACGCAGAACTGATAATACTGGGTTCTACAAATAAACAAAACAATCATAATCATGAATAGTAGCATTGCAAATAGTAATGGTAGTACTGATAAGCCGGTTTGAGCATAGGACTATTGCTCTGGAGGCCAAGATTTGTTTTCCTGTTCCGCTACAAAAACTGTCCGGGCAACCTTGAGGGAGTCACAGACTCTCAGCCTTAGAAGCCCCTGGAAAAAAGGTTGCCTTAGAGCAGTGGTTCCCAACCTGTAGTGTGTGGAGCACCAGTGGTCCTCAAGAATAAAAGTATGGTCTGCGGCCTCACCATTACTACACCGTTGCCTCGAAACCATGCAGCAACGAGAGCAACTGGTCTCGCGAAATACTCCTATAGTGCCAAGGCAACAGGGATGTTGGGAGGGGAAAGGCTGACTACCAATGAAAGATTATTACTACCACATCAGCTCTAGAGGATTAGATATGGTTTTCTGTGAGCGAGCAGATGGCAACTACTGGATAGTATATGTTCTGTATCAGAAACTAAAACCGATGTGGTCTGGCCAATGCAATTCTCTGAATCAGCACCCCAAATAACCAAACCAAATCTAAATTTGACCAAGAACAGATTCATAACCCTTTTGGCACTAATGTTTGAGAATTGGTCCTGGTCAAAGTGGTCCCTGGTCAAGTGGCCCCCGGTCAAAAAAAGGTTGGGAACCACCATGACTTGAAAGCACACAATAACTAAGTTTTAGCAATAATAATCATCCAACATTGTTTTAATACTTTACAGAAAATAAGAGGACAAAGAGCATGAAGAAATATTTCTTCAAAGACTCCTTGCTGGAATTCATTAAGATTAAGATAAATGTCCTGGTGGAACAGTGGGTTAAACCACTGTGAACGTTCCACCCATAGAACTCTTGTCTGTTTGAGGAAAGTGTGAATGTTGCAATTGGCCACCTTTATTAGTATTGAATGGCTACCCAGTATTTTTAAAAACTCAAAAGAGGAACCCTCAGAAAACAGGAGAATTCCAGACAGGAAACAATCAGGGCCAGCTAATACCTCCCAACAAAGGATTATTCCAGGCAGCAACCAATCAGGCTTTGAAGCTGCAAGGCCATTCAGTGCTAATCAAGGTGGCCAATTGCAACATTCACACTTGCTTCCAGTTCTTTCTCCCACCCTATATATTCCACAGATATATAAACCCCACTTGCCTAGTTTCCAATAGACTTCACAACCTCTGAGGATGCCTGCCATATATGTGGGCGAAACGGCGGGAGGGAATGCTTCTGGAACATGGCCATACAGCCTGGAAAACTCACAACAATCCAAGCTTCTCAATATTCAAATATTATGGACACCACAAAATTGAGCTATCTTTAGCAGAGGGTTTTGTTTGCCTTGGCCCAAAACATAAAAACATCCCAATACAACACAGTAGCATTTGTAACCTTGCTAGAAGCATGGTTACAAAACAAAGTGATGATAGTAACAATATAGCAAAATCCAAAGAAGAGGAGGAGGAGGAGGAGGAGGAGGAGGAGGAGGAGGAGGAGGAGGAGGAGGAGGAGGGGAGGAGGAGGAGGAGGAGGAGGAGGAGGAGGAAAGCACTGTATTTTGAATATTATGATTGACCTAATGAAGAATGCAATTTTTCTGCTTCTTGGCAGGGGGTTGGACTGGATGGCCCACAAGGTCTCTTCCAACTCAATGACTGTATGATTTGATATCAGCACAATGCATTCTTTTTTTGGATTTTGCTATACTTCCTACACATCCAACATGATATATGTATTTAATGATCCTGAAAGCAGGCTAGGAAAATGAGACGCCTTTCTCTCCCGCAACCATCCTTATGCAGAAAAGAAATAAAGAGCTCTTATTCACCTGATAGCTCAGAGGGTGCTGCTGAAAGGAGAAATCGGCTTGAAAGAAAGAAAGGAGAAAGAAAAAAATCCTGTTGTGTTTCTCCTGTGTGTACACTTTTGTTGTTACGCTCAGCATCTGCTGCCGTCTTTCATTTCACCGTGTCAGATCTGATTCCAAACCTCGGCCACTGCTTCTGCAATTATCTGGGCAAATAAACAAAATACAACAACTCAACGTTTCAAATGTTTAGCGGTCGCCCGCCACAAAAGCCCGTGCAGGTGCCGTGTACGATCATTGTAAAAAACAGGACATTATGCAGAACTTCTGCCAAAGAATCCAATAAAGCCAGTAGTTAATTGAGAGCCAAGGCGTAAAGAAGACTGAAGAGCATTTAGGGATGTAAAGAAAGGTCCTTCAAGCAACTTTAAGTCCCAGTTTATCAAAGAAAGCAGATTTTTCTCTCTTTGTTTTTCTTTTTAGCAGAGTTTGTAAGTGACTCATTTAAAAAGTGACGCTTGCTGGCAAGAGATTTCTTTCTGCCAACAATTCAGTCACTGGTAAAATTGTTTTTTCTTCTCCTTCCTGTCCTATTAATTGAGGAAAGAGGGTTGAAACTGCCCTGGGACAGGCTATTTTGAGAAGTGTTTTTTTTTCCAATTCCAAACAAATTATTATTATTATTATTATTATTATTATTATTATTATTATTATTTACTGGATTTGTATACTGCCTTTCTCAGCCTATCGGCGACTCAAGGCGGTTTCCAACAAAACAGTATACATAGCATTACAATACAATTTAAAAACATTATAATTACATAAACCACAACAGCAATAAAAACAGCATCATTGTCAAGCATTGTCCAATTCCATCGTCGGTCATCAATTTCATATATCATTTATCCATACCCGTTACTCTGTGTTTGTGAACGCTTGCTCAAACAGCCACATTTTGACTTGCTTCCGAAACGTTAAGAGGGAAGGAGCAGAACTAATCTCTCTAGGGAGGGCGTTCCATAGCCGGGGGGCCACTGCTGAAAAGGCCCTGTCTCTCGTCCCCGCCAAACATACCTGTGACAAAGGTGGGACCAAGAGCAGAGCCTCTCCGGATGATCTCAAGGTTCTAGATGGTTCATAAGGGGAGTTACGTTCGGACAGGTAAGTTGGGCCAGAACCGTTTAGGGCTTTAAAGGTTAAAACCAGCACTTTGAATTGTGCCCGGTAGCAAACTGGCAGCCAGTGGAGCTGGCGCAACAGGGGGGTTGTATGCTCCCTGAGAGCCACTCCAGTTGGCAATCTGACTGCTGTCCGTTGGACCAGTTGAAGCTTCCAGGCAGTCTTCAGAGGCAACCCCACATAGAGAGCGTTGCACTAGTCTATACGGGATGTAATGAGAGCGTGGACTACCGTGGCCAAGTCAGACTTCCCAAGGTACGGGCGCAGCTGGTGCACAAGCTTTAATTGTGCGAATGCTCCCCTGGTCACCGCCAAGACCTGGGGTTCCAGGCTCAGCGATGAGTCAAGGATCACACCCAGACTACGAACCTGCATAAATAAATTGATGCAGTAAATAAGTTGTTTGGAATTTGAAAAAAAGTGATGTACATATTCTCATCTTCATATCTAGGAGCCCTCGGTGGTGCAATGGGTTAAACCCTTGTGCCAGGACTGCTGACCGAAAGATTTGTGGTTCGAATCTATGGAGTGGGATGAGCTTCCGTCTCTCAGCTCCAGATTCTCATGCAGGGACATGAGCGACACCTCCCATAGGATGGTGAAACATCCAGGCATCCCCTGGGCGAACGTCCCTGCAGACGGCCAATTCTCTCACACCAGAAGTGACTTGCAGTTTCTCAAGTCATTCTTGACACACACACACATCAATTCTTTTTTTTTAATCTATGGAACACAAAAAGTTAACACTACCACATGTTGAGTGAGGAATAGTAACTACAACGCAACCCTTTGAAGGATGTGTTCCAACTTTCTCCCCCTTTTGATACCTCTAACTGTGGATAATATTAATATTAAGCCCTATATTTTGGCTATACCTGGGTTGGAAACATACAGAGAATCACATTAGAGGACCATGGATTCTGTATCCACACATCAAAAAATATCCTCCTGTCCCAAGAAGTGTTTACAGGCTCTTCTAGGTCCTCCAATGTGATTCTCTGTATGTTTCCATCCCAGGTATAGTTTTGTTTTTGGTTTGTGTGTTTGTGTGTGTGTGTGTGTGTCAGGAGTGACTTGAAAAATTGCAAATTGCTTCTGGTGTGAGAGAATTGGCTGTCTGCTAGGATGTTGCCCAGATGCTTTACCATCCTGTGGAAGGTTTCTCTCATGTTCTCGCATGGGAAACTGGAGCTGACAGATGGGAGCTCATCCCGTTCAGTGGATTCGAACTGCTGACCTTTTGGTCAGCAGTCCTACCGGCATAAGGCTTTAATGCATTATGCCACAAAGGGTTGTGTAAGCCCTATGTAGTCAAAATATAAGGCTTACTATTATCTATATTTCCTGTTATCTAAAGGGAGAGAGGGTTCGAACTCATCCTTCAAAGATACAGGGGTTGTGTTGTAGTTACAATTCTTCACTCAATATGTGATAGTGTTACCTTTTGTATTCCATAGATGAAAAAACTGACTTGAGTCGTCTTCGGGCTGAGAAAGGCGGTATACAAATGTGGTAAATAAATACCGTAAATAAAAAAGAATTGATGTAGTAAGTAAGCAATTGGAATTGGAAAAACACCTCTCAAAATACCTTATCCCAGAGAAGTGTTTAGAGGCCTTCGAGCTCTAGGACAGTGGTTCCCAAACTATGGGCCCCCAGATGCTTTGGCCTTCAACTCCCAGTAATCCTAACAATTGGTAAACTAGGTGGGATTTCTGGACGTTGTAGGCCAAAACATCTGGGAACCCACAGGTTGAGAACCGCTGATCTAAATGATCTTCTAGCCCTCACTAAGGATTTCTGGTGGTCTCCCACCCACATATCTAACCAGAGGTCCAAAAATGCCAAAATCAGAAAAAAATGATCTGTTCAGAGTGGTATGGTGAGTAAAGGTCTACATCTGCTAACAGAAGGAGTCCGTCCCCAATAGTCCCTGCTGCTAAAAAGACCCAAACTCTATCCTCGAAGCTCAAGACACACAGAGAGAAGCAATCCCCTTATCCTACTGCTTTAAGGTGAGCTGGCAGAGAGAAGGCAAAAAAAAAAAATGCCAGCAGAAATCCCCAGATTAGATTAATTTAATTGCACAGATGGTATTACGGGCCACTTCAGGCAGATAATGAAAAGGGAACGCCTCTCTTAATATCCCAACAGAGAGAAACCACCAAGGTCTCTGTCTCCCAAAAAGGGGGCACATAACCCATACACCTTTTCTGCTTCCTGCCTTCTCCTTTATCCCATGATGTACACCTGGCTTCTAGGTTCTGCCTAGTAGCAAGTGTGTTTCTGAAGTCAGAAATGAGACAAAGAAATGGCAACGTTGAGTCAAGCAGGCTAACAAGATGCCCAGAGCCACTGGCCCATTTACCACGCAGCGGCTGAGCTACTGATGCTTCTCTAACCCGACAAGCTCTTTGCCAGCCAAGAGCTGTAATAAAGAATCCTCCTGCCATAAAAGCCAAATAGCAGGTGTGAGGCATATAGCTGTAATAAAAAGCCTGAGAGGGCCTATTCGACAACACCTGTGCCGTGCTATCTCTGTATTCCTGGGTATTTAAAGCAAATAAATATATTGCAGTTTAAGTGAGCATTTAGGAAATGGTCCCAGCTGTCCGAAGCGTGGACACTTTGGCAGACACATGCAGTAGTCGACACATGGCATCTGTACTGTCTTGTCTGGGAATTCACCTACGGACTAAATTCAAAGATCTGGAAGATCATCTGGAGACCTACATGTCTTGTAACTTCGATGGGAAGACTCTTTGCATAGTAGTCGCTATAACAGAGGACATCTGGAAGGATCTTCTTCTGTGTTCCACTAGTAGGAATGATAGATTGTATTGAGACTTGGGAGAATGTCTTTTCTGTTGTGACCTTTCAACTGCCATAGCTCAATGCTGTAGAATCCCCGGAGTTGATCCTTGTGGAGGCATTGACAGACTTTGTATTTCTAGGTACAAAGATTACTGCAGATGCAGACTGCAGCCAGGAAATCAGGAGACGCTTACTTCTTGGGAGGAGAGCAATGACCAATCTCAATAAAATAGTGAAGAGTAGAGACATCACACTGGCAATGAAGAAGATCCGCATAGTTAAAGCTAGACCATAAGGAAAGCTGAGTGAAGGAGGATAGACACTTTTGAACTGTGGTGTTGGAGGAAAATTCTGAGAGTGCCTTGGATCACGAGATCAAACCAGTCCATACTCCAGAAAATAATGCCTGACTGCTCACTGGAGGGAAGGATATTAGAGGCAAAGATGAAGTACTTTGGCCACATCATGAGAAGACAGGAAAGCTTGGAGAAGATAATAATGCTGGGGAAAATGGAAGGAAAAAGGAAGAAGGGCCGACCAAGGGCAAGATGGATGGATGGTATCCTTGAAGTGAATGGCTTGACCTTGGGGTAGCCATGGTTGACAGGGAGCTCTGGTGTGGGCCAATCGAGAGTCAGATACAACTGAAAGAATAAACAACAAGAATGCCTTTATCCTTTTTGTGCTGAAGACTGCAGGAACTACAACTCTCATGATCCAACAGCATTGAGCAATGGAAGTTAAAGTAGAGACAAACTGCATTAATTCTACAATGTAGATATGACCCAAGTGTGTGACTCAGAACAAGACAGCCGCCTATTTCCTAGCAAGAGATAAAAGAAGTTGGCTGGCTCTCATACTGATGAGTGATCTGCATAAGGATTATCTTTGCTGAAAACTAACCAGGAAGAATGACATAATTTTACAAGTAAATAACCAAAATTGGGCTAGTGTTCTGCCTGATTAAATATGTACAACTTGGGCCTTTGGAGCAGAAAGGCAAACAAATGGTTTAGAATCTAGATGCACAGGTTTTGAATAAACATGCATAGGTTAGCACTTTCTAGTGCATCTCCATTGTAGAATTACTGAAGTTTGACACCAACCTGGATGGCCATGGAGTTTGAGGAGTTGTAATTTGGTGAAGCACCACCAGCACTGTTTGGTGGAGAAGGCTAAAGACCCCTTGTAAAACTGTAATTCCCATAATTCA